TTCTTCAAAAATAACCTAGCTGTTCAGTAAGCAATTTTCCTGCTAAAACTTTTAAGCGCCCGCATACGAGAACCACTGATGGCTGAATTAGTGAAGGCTGAATTTGAAATCTTAAAGTTGTATTTGGACGGGGAATATTCCCATGAAATTTTAACTTTCTGGCTTTACCCGAGTTAGTAATTTTCCCGCCAGAACTTTCACATTGCACGTGCTTGAATACCATGCGTACTGGGGGTTGAATTTAAAATCTTTAAATTGTATGTGAACAGGGAACATCCCCTTAAAATTTTAGCCTTCCAGTTTTTCTGGTTACTGAGTTAGCAATTTTCCCGTCAGATCTTTTGCTTGTCTACACTTTAGAATCATGAACACTTGGGGGCTTAATTTGAAATCTTTAACTCACGCATGCATAGAAAGTACCACTGCAAAGATTCAGCTTTCTGCCTCCTCTTGTTCCCGAGATCGTTCCCCTGCTAAAAAATTTGCATAATTTTTTTTAGGCGTTCGTGCCTGAGACTCAAGCATACGCAGGCGATGATATTAAAACGGTAGAGTCGCACATGGCACGGGCACATTCTCCCGAAGTTCCAGCTTTCTAACTTTTTTGATTCTCGAGCTGAAAGTGGGTGACAGAAAGTGCAAACACACACACACACAGATGGCCTCTTGCCATTATGCGTTTTTGCATTTACACATAGCATAAAAATATAAAGTGAAGTAAAAGGCAGTACGGGCTTCAAAGGCCTGTGGAGGAAAAGAAGAGGGTAGTAACCAGTGCTTCGCTTTTCTAACATCGTCAGTCCGTGTGCTGGTAGCATTTTTATAGTGAATGATGAACTATGGCGAAATGGTGTAGTGATGGATCACCTGTAGCGTTTTGCTGATCCACATCGATTATATTCTATTACGATTAGCGTCAGAGCAGCAGCTGCTGCTATTCCACTAACTAACATATACACAATTAGAAATCCATATGCTTATAATACTGGTGTACTGGGGTGGGGAAGTTTTATTTTGGGGGTGAGATGGACTCTCTATGTCACAACCGAAAAAGCTGCCATCATAAATATATGGCTCGACTTGATGGATGAATATAAATGTAGTTTTGGATATTGATTTCTGTGATTCAGGGCGTTTTTATGCATTATTGATTCCCGAGCCCTCGAT